TACCCATCTACTTCAATTGCATTTTTATGTTTTTATGTGTAGACATCCAAACTTCTAACTGATCATCCGTCGTTCTCAACATACAAAGCTACTCTCTTTGGGTTAATCAGAATGTAGGATGAAGTCTGTCCATGTCCTCCCTTGTCCCTAATGGACATTAAGAAAGTGATGATTTTCTTGGTTTACAATACTATACATTAAAGTGAAATCCCCAATAATTGGCAATGTATTCATCTAAATCAATTTATTCAAGGTGCCGTTAGCGCAAGATACTTTGGTTTGTATCGTATTTAGGTTTTCCCAACATGACTTCATGGCATTGATATTTTAAAAAATATATAAAAACGTATTTTAAACTAACTTGAGTCATCCTGCGCTCATTYAGCCGAAGTATGGCTTATATCTTTGCGCCTAAGAGATACTACACTGTTACTCGTGCGTCAACTGTTCTCAGCTAACATAATATATTATAAGCCCAAAAAAGAATCTGTAAATTATACCCTGAACTGTATTTGTAACACACACAGAAGAAAACGTCGGAGCAACCCATAGAATTTGTACATGATTAGCAACACGATCTGACATTTTCCACACTTCCTTTTCTCACCAAGAAGCAACTTATTTGTCGGAACCGTCAATATCGGTCCACTGTAACATTTAGCTTCCGTACATTAAACTCAAGCCCCCCTGGTATGGAAAACTTTTTTAGCTTACAAGTTATCATCATGAAATTTAGCACATACTATCGTTCAAGGGAAAATATAATCTACGAAGAGGTTATTTAGATAGATATTATATTTAGTTTTTTTTTTTTTTGTTTGATGATGGTCCATCCATTGAGTCCAATTTTCAATTACAGATTGGAGCATTTCGACTGGTAACTGACGAATGAAACACAGGATGTTTTGCTCCAAGGCCTGAATCGAAGCGGGGTTATCCGCATAGACTTTAGACTTTACATATCCTATCCACACAGAACAAAGTGTAACGGTGTGATATCACACGATCTTGGTGACGAATCGGTCGGCCCAAAACAAGTGTTGTCTCAATAAATCCATTGATTGATGCGACGTGTAGATAGTGGCGCCGTCTTGTTGAAATCAAATATGGCTATCAGCGCGCAATAACGGTCGCCATTGACGTTTACGGACTTTCGCCATCATTTTTGAAGAAATATGGGCCGATGATTCCGGTTTACAAACCACTCCCAACCATTGTTTTTTTTTTTTTTTTGGATGAAATGGCAGCTCCTGAATTTCGTCAGGTTGGTCTTCATCGCTGAACCAAATTTGGCTCGAAAACGTCGAATCTTCTTGGAACTTTTCAAGAGCCCATAGAGCGTTGCGTTGTGGCTTGAGAAGGTCGAGCGGCTTCAGTTCTTGCACAAGCTGTGTTTTGTACGCTTTCAATTTCAGATCTCGACTTAAAATGCGCCAAGTCGTTCCATACGTCAGTCCGAGTTGCTGCGAACGACTCTCCATGGCGTACGTATATACTCACAGCCACGGCTGCTATATTTTCTTCACTATTAATACTGGGTCTCAAGATGGGTGGTGGTCTTGCGAATAGTACGCTCAGTAAGCCGATTATGTTGACTAGAAATTGAGCGAAGCGCGCGAAATACATTCTTTACTGAGCTTGCATTTTTTGAAATAAAGTTGAACTATTTGTAATCGTTGTTCAGGCGTAAATCTTTCCATGCTGCAATGCCAAACATTACTGAACAAAAATAACATGACAGCTTCACACAACTCACTCGTGATCTGTCAAAGCAAAGGGTTTTGAAAAAAAGTACCTCTACTTTGATCACCCGTTAGTTACGTTAGAAGCTCCAAACAAATTCTTCTGTTCTTCAAACTGATCGTACATAATTAAGATAAATATATTCTTATACCCTTAACGTTTACTCTTGTTTAATATTAATTTACTTACTCATCTTTTAGAAATCATCCAATAAAAAAATAAGGATAACTGTGTTTCCGCTACTTTTGAGTTAATTTCTTTATTTAAATTTCTTTAATATTCGCACATAGAGAGTTGGGTTAGTTAAGTATGTTTGTATGTATTTTTTATATTTTCTTTATGTAATTAAGTGTTACATATACAAACATATATAAGTAATAATAATATTTTCTTGCTTGCGCTAATTTAAATTACAACTTTCAACAATCAATTAAATTTCATACTAATTTATTGCGGTTAATCTATCAGTCAGTTAATTAAAATTTAATTGTTATTTAATACAAACGATATACGTGTATATATGTATATGTATGGTTGTGTATGTTTACTTGTTCATATAACTATTATGTATATATGTATGTGTGTATATGCATGTAAATTAGGGTGCGTCAAAAAATTTTTTTTTTATCTTTTTGTTTAAATTCTATAAAATTACTTTGATTTTTTCCCTTGAGTACCGTGGAACTATCATCTAAAATGACGCAGGAATATTTCCTTATTTTGTTGTTTATTATGTTGGGAATTATTGTATATATATTCATAAAAAAGTTATTTTAGGGTTTATTTTGTGAAATAATATAAAAACGTTAAAAAAGTGTCTTTCACGATTCATAACAGGTTTTTCAATAGCAACGCTACTAAGGTAGCGTCATTATTGAGCGTCTGGTGGAAAAATTTTAATTCACAGGTACCGTACCAAATGTTCCCGTGCAAGTGCCAAAAAGAAGTGCCCCTAATGTCGAGAATATTGCTGCCGCTAGCGCATCAATTAGCGAAGACCAAAATCAGTCTCGAAAAGATCTTGGCCTACATCCTTACAAAATCAAATTGACACAAGAACTGATGCCGCTTGACCATCAGAACCGTCGTGTGCTCGGAATTGTGTTGGGCAACAACTTGAAAATTATCCGGATTTTTATCAAAAAAATCATCTTTAGCTTCTTCATTTCTGAGTCACCATTGCATACCGAAAAATTACGGTTTGGTACGGTTTATGGGCCGGTGGCGTCATTGGGACGTACTACTTTCATGAGTGGGAATCGGTACTGCTCAGTGATCACTGAATATTTATTGGCCCGAAATGGATGATACAGACTTGGACAATATGTGGCTCCAACAGGACGACGCCACAAGCCAAACAGCGAATGTCACAATCAATTTATTGAAAACCAAGTTTGGTGAACGTGTTATCTCACGAAATGGTTCGCCACGGTCGTGAGTTTTGACGCCGTTGGACTATTTCTTATGGGGCTACGTCAAATCTATGGTCTATGCCAACACGCTAGTGACGATTAATGAACTTCATACGAATATCGAATGTGAAATTGCAACAGTATCGGTCGGTTTATGCTTGAAAACCGTCGGACTTCGGCATGCGTCTACGTGGTGAGGTCGCGCAAGAGAAATCGAGTTTCATACATAATGGTATCGAATGTACTTTCCCAGGAATAAAAAATTTCATTGATATACCAAAACTTTTTTAGCGCTCTTATTGAGAAGCCCGTTAGTTGGACTCTGGCGGATGAATATTTTTTATGGATCCTTAAATGCTCTACAAGAATATGTCTACATTATAAAACGATTTCATTATAGAAAGAAAGGCAGAGTATCGAAGAAGACCCCAAGGAGCTCAAACGCCAACGCATGCAACTATTGGAGCTATGCTTATCCAGTTTATGGAAGATTTCGCGGCAAAATCTGAGCTTGCGGGCTTACAACACTATACTCTTGCTAGAATTGAAGGCGAACGACTATCCAGCGCGTGGCATGTTTCGTGAATGGGTTCAAACTGAGACTACTGAAACTACCAATACCAATGTTCACAAGAAAATTTAGATCGGCGATGCAGCTCGCATTGCAAGTGATGTTAATCCATAAGCCATTGTTGAGGCACAGTTACAACCTTATAAAGTCACTGTTTGTTTCAGTGAATCTGGCCATAA